TGGGGCCGCACAAGTTCCGCGAGGTGGCCACGGCCAACCTGGCGCGGGTGCTGCGGCGCTTCAACGAGCTGCAGTTCTGGGTGGCCACCGAGCTGTGCCTGTGCCCCGAGCTGGGGCGGCGCGCGCAGCTCCTGCGCAAGTTCATCAAGCTGGCGGCGCAGTGAGTCCCTGTCACTGTCCCTGTCCCTGTGTCACTGTCACTGTCCCCATGGCTGACCCGTCCGGTCCCGTCCCCTCCTGCAGCCTCAAGGAGCAGAAGAACCTGAATTCCTTCTTCGCGGTGATGTTCGGTGTGAGCAACACGGCCGTGACTCGCCTGGCCAAGACCTGGGAGGTGACAGAGGGGGGACAGCGAGGGGAGGGTCTGGGGGGTGGGACAACACCTGGGGAGGGACAATCAGAGATCTCTGGGTGGGACAGCTGGGGGTTTTTGGGGAGGGACAGCTGGGGGTCTCTGGGTGGGACAGGGGGGGTCTCTGGGGTGGGACAGGGGGGTGCCAGCTCCTGATCCCATCCCTACACAGAGATTGCCCCATAAGATCCGGAAGCTGCATTCGGCTCTGGAGAGGATGTTGGTGAGCACAGCCCCTCTGCCCTGTGCCCCCTTTCCTGCCCCATGTCCCCTTTCCTGCCCCATGTCCCCCTTCCCTTCCCCACGTCCCCTTCCTTCCCCGTGTCCCCTTTCCCTGCCCCATGTCCCCTTCCCTGCCCCATGTCCCCTTCCCTGCCCCATGTCCCCCTTTCCTGCCCCATGTCCCCTTTCCCTGCCCTGTGTCCCTTTCCCAGGGGGATTTGCCCCTGGAGCAATGGGGAGGGGGTGTCACTGTCCCCCCTTGTCCCCCCCACCCCCGTGTCCCCCCACTGTCCCCCCCTGTCCCCCCCACCCCCGTGTCCCTGCCTGTCCCCAGGACCCCTCGTGGAACCACCGTGTCTATCGCCTGGCCGTGGCCAAGCTGAGCCCCCCCATCATCCCCTTCGTGCCCCTGCTGCTCAAAGGTGGGTCTCTGCTTTTGGGGACCCCCCGGGTGTGCCCAGCGCTCCCCAAGGACCCCGCTCTGACCCCCAAACCCCCCCCAGACATGACCTTCATCCACGAGGGCAACCGCACCCTGGCCGAGAACCTCATCAACTTCGAGAAGATGGTGAGAGCGGGGCGGTGACCCCTCCGAGGGCCCTGCTGTGCCCTGCAGGCAGAGCTCTGGCACAGCCGTGGCGGGGACAGAGATTTTGGGGATCCAGGTGGGGCCAGGTGGCAGCAGGTGACCTCTGTGCCTCACCCACAGCACATGATGGCCAAGACCGTGCGGGTCCTGCAGCGCTGCCGGGGCCACGCGCACGGTGAGAGCCCCAGGGAGCTGGGGAGGGGGCTTGGAGGGTCCCCAAACAGGGCTGGGGCCCTGGGGATGGGGCTGAGCCCCTGGGGACAGGGCTGAACCCATGAGGATGGGCCTGAGACCCTGGAGATGGGGCTGAACCCATGGGAATGGGGCTGAGACCCTGGAGATGGGGCTGAGCCCCTGAGGATGGGGCTGAGACACTGGGGATGGGGCTGGAGCCCTGGGGATGGGGCTGAGCCCCTGGGGATGGGGCTGGAGCCCTGAGGATGAGGCTGAGCCCCCTCTTTCTGCCCCCCAGCGCCACTGTCCCCACTGAGGAGCCGCTCCCCGCACCGGCCCGAGGACGCCAAGGCCGTCAGGATCTCCACGTGTACGTCTGGAGCTCCTCATTGTGACCCCAACCCTGCCCCGGGGGACCCCCAACCCTCTGAGGGGGTCCCTGAGCTGAGGGAGAGGGGATGGAGATGGAGAGACCTCATGGAGGGTCCATGGAAGGATCCATGGAGGGATCTATGGATGGATCTATGGAAGGATCCATGGAGGGATTCATGAGCCAGTCCAGGGAGGTTTGGGGGTGTCACAGGGGGTCCATGGGGTGATCCATGCAGGGATCCATGGATGGATCTATGGAGAGATCTGTGGGAGGATCCATGGAGAGATCCATGCAGAGATCCATGGATGGATCTATGGATGGATCTATGGATGGATCCATGGATGGATCTATGGAAGGATCCATGGAGGGATCCATGAGCCACTCCAGGGCGGTTTGGGGAGGTTTTGGGGTGACACAGGGGGTCCATGGGGTGGTCCTACAGGGATCCATGGAAGGATCCATGGAGGGATCCATGCAGAGATCCATGGATGGATCTATGGATGGATCTATGGAAGGATCTATGGCAGTATCCATGAGCCAGTCCAGAGCAGTTTGGGGAGGTTTTGGGGTGTCACAGGGGGTCCATGGGGTGGTCCTACAGGGATCCTGGACAGGCTCAGTAGTCTGTGCCCCAGCCTTGATCTCATCCTTCCCCACAGGCTCGGAGCAGTCCCTGAGCGTGAGGAACCCCGTGTCCACCTGGGCCTACCTGCAGCACCTGAGGGCCATCGACAGCCAGAAGGAGCTGCTGAAGCTCTCCCGGGAGCTGGAGCCCTGAGGGCAGCAGGGCTGGAGCGGGGACGGGGGCCCGGAATGGGGACGGGGGCCCAGAATGGGGATGGGGGCCCGGAATGGGGATGGGGGATCCAGACCAAGGATGGGGGCCCAGAGCTGGAATAGGGGCCCGGAATGGGGATGGGGGGTCCAGAGCAAAGATGGGGGCCCGGAATTGGGAGGGGGTCACAGAGTGAGGATGGGGCTCCAGAACCATGATGGGGGCCCAGAGCAGGGATGGGGGCCCAGAATGGGAATGGGGGACCACATCAGGGAATGGGGGCCCATAGTGGAGATGGGGACTCCAGAGCAAAGGTGGGGGCCCAGAATGGTGATAGGGTCTGGAGTGCGGATGGGGGTCCAGAACAGGAATGGGGGTTCAGACCGAGGATGGGGGCCCAGAATGGGGATGGGGAATCAGACTGAGGATGGGGAGCCATCTTTGGACCACCAGAACAGGAATGGGAGTTCAGACCGAGGATAGGGGACCAGAATGGGGATGGGGGACCATCCTCGGACCACCAGAACAGGAATGGGGGCCCAGAGTGAGGATGGGGGCCCAAAATGGGAATGGGGTCCAGAGCAAGGATGGGGGTCTAGGAGTGAGGATGGGGTCCCAGAATGGGGATGGGTGCCCAAAACAGGGATGGGGGCCCGGAATGGGGATGGGGGTCCAGAGCAAGGATGGGGATCCAGAGCAAGGATGGGGGTCCAGAGCAAGGATGGGGTTCCGGAGCAGGGTTGGGGTCCCAGCTGCCGGCGGCGGGGCAGCCCCTGGCTCTGCTCCCATGGCCCCCGGCTGTGCTGGAGCCCCCCAGAGCTCGGCCCTGGACTCAGATCCGGCCCCGCTGAGCTCCGGGCAGGCGAGGCAGAGCAATAGAGGTATTTTTGTACTCATGGCTGTGCTCCCCGTTCTTCTCCTCCACCCCCGATGTGACCTTGGGGACGGCCCCGGAGCTGCCCCAGGCGAGGTGACACAGCGCTGGCACCAGGAGGGGACAGCTCAGGAAATGACTGAGGGCTGAGGGAGCTCCAAACCCGGCCCTTGTTGCACCAAACGCCGCTCCCGTGCCAGCTGGCACAGCAGGGGCCGCTCCCTGCTCCGGGAGGGATCCCAGCATCACCCCAGCATCCTCGGGAGCTGTTTGGGGTGGGGTCTCACCTGCCCAGGTGGGGGGCACAGGGTGGGAGCCTCTCACCCTGTCCTGGGGCTGTGGCTGCTCCCAAATCATTGGGGTCGGGTTCCATGGGTGCCCCCAAATGCTTTCCCTGCCTGGAGCTGCCCCAGGCCAGGCCAGAGGGCTCTGGACCACCAGGACCAGCCGGGGTTGGCCACTCCTGAGCTGGTGAGGAGGTGGAGAAGTTTCTGGAGCAAATCCTGCGGGCTTTGGGATGAGGTTTGCCAGGAAAACCTGCCAGGGAGTGAGGAAGAGGAGGCAGAGCCTGGTGGTGCCCCTGGGGCTCTCTGAAAATCTCTGAAAATCTCCCTGAAAATTCCCTGCTCAGCTCCAGGCTGGCAACATTTCCCATCGGGGTTGGCTGTGTAGAGAAGGGGCTGTGACCCCCCCAGGCCTGACCTGAGCCCCCCAGGGTTGGGGAGGGTCCCTGGGGCAGCTCTGGGCTCTGGACCAGGCTGGGATGACCCCAAACCTCCCCCCAGGGCTGTGCTGGAGTTTTGGGCTTTCCTGGAGGCTCCAACGAGGCCGATCCGTGCCAGAGGAGGGGTCACAACCTCCAGAGCTGAGTTAGGAGAGCTCATTCCCCCCAGTTAACGCCGCTCCCAGTTCACACCGGTGCCAGCTCCAGTCAGGACCCGGCTGTGCCCCCCGTTCTGGGGGAGTGGGCAAAGCCCCCCGGGACCCTCCCCGCGCAGCCTCGGCCGCCCCCGGGGGTTGCGGAGCCAAGCCCGGGATTCTGGATTTACCGGCCCTCCTCCCACTGCGGGCAGCCTGTAATTAGCCGCGCGCTTAATGAGTTTTGGCCAAGTTGGGGTGCAGCCCGCCCGGGGAGCCCTCGCTGCCATCACGCCCCTCCCTCCTCCCCCCCGTGGGACCCACAAAAAGCCGGGAGCAACGGGGAGCTGCGGCACTCCCGGCCCTATCCCGACCCGATCCCGGAGCTCCCGACCCGATCCCGGAGCTCCCGACCCGATCCCGGCACTCCCGACCCGATCCCGGCACTCCCGATTCGATCCCGTCGCTCCGGACCCGATCCCGGCATTCCCAACCCGATTCCGGAGCTCCCGACCCAATCCCGGCACTCCCAGCCCTGTCCCGGCGCTCCCGACCCGATCCCAGCGCTCCGAACCCGATCCCGACCCAATACCGGCACTCCCGACCCGATCCCGGCGCTCCCAGACCGATCCTGGCGCTCCCGACCTGATCCCGACCGATCCCAACCCGATCCCGACCGATCCCAACCCGATCCCGACCCGATCCCGGCGCTCCCGGCCCGATCCCGGCACTCCGGACCCGATCCCGGCGCTCCCGACCCCATCCCGCAGCTCCCGAGGGACGATGGAGCCCTGGATGCTCCTGCTGGGGGCAGGAATCGCCCTGGGCTGCGTGTCCGGCCGTGAGTAACCCGGGGGGGCTGTAGGGGATGGGGGCCAGCAGCTCGGCGCTACTGGGAGAACTGGGATAACTGGGATGGAGCTGCCCGGGCTCCGTGGGGCAAAGAGAAGGAGATTTTCCATGCTGGAAATCCAGCCCGGGCTGGGGGTGGATTGTCCAACTCCCCTGGCCCACCAGTGGGCTCCGGGTGTGTCTGAGCCCGCCTTGGTCCTGCAAAGCTCAAGGAATCTCCTTCTGGCTCCTCCTTTCCACGGAAAAGCAGCTCTGGGTGTTTTCCAAGCCCAATCCCTCACCCACCTTCCCCCTGTGGGGCAGCTCAGGTGGCAAACGCAGCCCAGACCCGACCCCGAGGTGCCCAGGGGGGGCTCAGAGGGGTCTGGGTTTAAGGAGGAGCTCAGGGCCACCAGGATTTGGCAGCCGGGATCCCACGGGGGTGAGGAGGCGCTGAGTTCTTGCACAAAGCCTGAACTGCGATGCCCTGGCACTGAGGACGGGATTTCATCACCCCCGACGGCGCCAGGAGCTCGTATCTGATGGCCCAGGAGAGGATGAGTCCCCCTGGGATGAGAGATGAGCAGTTTTGCAAGGCCAGCTCACGGGAGAGGCTCCAAACCTGCGTGGGGCTGGGAGAAGGAGTTTCCAAACTCCTGAGTGAGTCCTGAGTCCCCAAACTCCTGAGTTCCCAAATTTCCTGTGTGAGTCCTGAGTTCCCAAACTCCTGAGTGAGTTTCCAAACTCCTGAGTGAGTCCTGAGTTCCCAAACTCCCGAGTTCCTAAATTTCCCATGTGAATCCTGAGTTCCCAAATTTCCCGAGTGAATCCTGAGTTGCCAAACTCCTGTGTGAGTTCCCAAATTTCCTCTGTGAATTCCCAAACTTCCCATGTGAGTCCTGAGTTCCCAAACTCCTCTGTGAGTCCCCAAATTTCCTGTGTGAATCCTGAGTTCCCAAACTCCCACGTGAGCCCTGAGCTGTTCCAGAAGGAAAGCCCTTGGTGAAGGTGCCTGGGGAGCTCGGCTGCCCTGTGGCCAGTCCTGGCCGCCTGCAGGACCTGTCTGCTGGCCCTGGAACCTCTCCACTTCTCCTGGTGTGGGCAGTGGGAGCTTTCCCCTGATTGTCCCCCAGGCAGGGCTCACCTGCAGGTTTGGAGGCAGGAGCTGAGGGTTTGGGAAGCTCAGGGTGTCCGCAGCTCTGTTCCAAGTTCCTTTGCCCTTCAGATGGCCCCTCCTGGAGCTGGGCTGGGTTTGGATTTGTGTTTTCCTGCAGGAACCGGGTCCTGAGTCAGGCCAGGGGCTCGAGGACGCGGCTCTGGCTGAGCTGACTCATCCCCGTGCCCGACAGCAAACTGGGAGCACTGGGAGAGCTCCGGCACCTCCCCAGAGCTGGGAGGATGGAGCTGGGCAGGGAACAACCCCCCTTACCCTGGACACCGTGAGAGAGAGAAATATTTCTGTGCTTTGTGCAGCCAGAGGAAATCTGGGGCAGGATCAGCCAGAAAATCCTGGGGCAGGATCAGCCAAAAAATCCTGGGGCAGGATCAGCCAAAAACCCCAGGGTGGCTGGGTGTGGATGGGCTGTGTCCTTCTGTCCTTCTGTCCTTGTGTCCTTCTGTCCCAGGCCACCGCCCCTGTGGCGTTTCCAGCTCTCCCAAAAAAAGCTCTCCCAAAAAGCTGGGGACCCTGCAGCGATTTAGGGTCGATTTAGGATTGATTTAGGGATTTAGGGTCCATTTAGGGATTTAAGGTCGTGTCTGAGTGAGGAGGAGGAGCAGTTCCCCTGCCCTGAGACCCCTCAGGTGCCCCGTGGCATTGGGGATTTGGGAATTTAGGATTTGGGAATTTAGGATTTGGGATGATGCTGAGTCTGCCTCTCCCATCACCCCTCCAGGAACAACTGAGAACCCTAGAGAGATTTAGGGTCGATTTAGGGTTGATTTAGGGATTTAGGGTCGTGTCTGAGTGAGGAGGAGGAGCAGTTCCCCTGCCTTGAGACCCCTCAGGTGCTCTGTGGCGTTGGGGATTTGGGAATTTAGGATTTGGGAATTTAGGATTTGGGATGATGCCAAGCCCACCTCTCCCATCGCCCCTCCAGGAACAGCTGAGGATGCTGCAGCAATTTAGGGTCGGTTTAGGGTTGATTTAGGGATTTAGGGTCATGTCTCAGTGAGGAGAAGGAGCAGTTCCTCTGCCCTGAGACTGCTCAGGTTCTCCGTGGCATTGGGGATTTGTCACTGGGGATTGTGGATTTCGGATGATGCTGAGCCCGCCCCTCCGAGGGCTGAGTCAGGGTCGGGGCCCTGCTGGGACACGCTCGGGATGCTGTGACACGCTCGGGATGCTGTGACACTGCCGGGACACGCTCGGGATGCTGTGACAGCCCCGGGCCACTCGGGACCGGCACCAGAACGGGCTCGGCAGTGACGGGGGAGCGTGGGCAGCTCCTGCCTTGCACAATCCGGCCGGGATTGAGGCTGGACAAGCAGCGATGATTGAGCCAGGGGGGTTTACCCCAGTGCAGCTCATTGGGGGAATGGGGCTGGGGCTGGACCGGTCACACTGGGAGGGTCTGGGCAGCGCTGAGCCCCCCATCCATGGGGTGTCCCTGCCATGGAGGTTCTGAGCCCCCCATCCATGGGGTGTCCCTGCCATGGAGGTTCTGAGCCCCCCATCCATGGGGTGTCCCTGCCATGGAGGTTCTGAGCCCCCCATCCATGGGGTGTCCCTGCCATGGAGGTTCTGAGCCCCCATCCATGGGGTGTCCCTGCCATGGAGGTTCTGAGCCCCCCATCTATGGGGTGTCCCTGCCATGGAGGTTCTGAGCCCCCCATCCATGGGGTGTCCCTGCCATGGAGGTTCTCCCAGCTCTTATCCAGGGCTTCAGGAGAACCTCAAGACCCTCCCTGCTGAAATAATGCTGTTTAAAGGATTTACAGGGGATGGGAAGCCAGGAGGGAAAACCAAAACCGGAGCTGGGATTTGGTGGGGAGAGGGAGCCAAGGGATCCCTCAGCACCTGCAGGGCCAGGGTGACATCATCAGGCACAAATAATTGTGGTGAAGTGACAAAGGGGACAAACAAGGAGGGAAGGCAGCAGTGTTGGGGAGTTTGATGCCACCCTCATGGCCTCGATGTCACTGTCATCACCTCGATGCCACCCTCACGGCCTGGATGTCGCTGTCATCGCCCGAGTGTCCCGGGACAGGATGAGCCACATCAGGATTTGCCCCGGGGCCACCTTTCACCCGGGTTGGGCAAACCTGCGGTGCCTCAGATGTCGGGAGATTGCAGCGGCTGTGCCAGGGAGGGCAACGCCCGCTGCTCCAGGGCTGCCTTTGCCAGCTGGGACAGGGACACAGTGCGGGACAGGGACAACCTGTGGGACAGGGACACCTTGTGGGACAGGGACACCGTGTGGGACAGGGACACTGCTGGGACAGGGACACTGCTGGGACAGGGACAGCCTGTGGGACAGGGACACCTCTGGGACAGGGACACCATGTGGGACAGGGACACCGCTGGGACAGGGACACCGTGTGGGACAGGGACAGCCTGTGGGACAGGGACACCGTGTGGGACAGGGACACTGCTGGGACAGGGACAGCCTGTGGGACAGGGACACCGTGTGGGACAGGGACACCATGTGGGACAGGGACAGCCTGTGGGACAGGGACACCGCTGGGACAGGGACACCGTGTGGGACAGGGACACCCTATGGGACAGGGACACCCTGCTGGGACAGGGACAGCCTGTGGGACAGGGACACCCTATGGGACAGGGACACCTCTGGGACAGGGACACCCTGCTGGGACAGGGACAGCCTGTGGGACAGGGTCACCCTGCAGCACAGGGCCACCCTTGTACCTCTGAGAGTGTCCCTTGTCCCCTCCAAGGCTCCACCGCTGCTATTTATAGCTTTGCTTTGCGTCACCACGCAGGTGCTCAGCAGCTGCTCATTATGAACAGCTCGGGAAGGAGTTTTCCCAGTTTTCCCAGTTTTCCCAGCACGTGCAAACGAAGCTGCCTGGAATGCTGCAGCTCCTCCAGGGGGCCCAGGGCTCATCCCGGGGTGAATCATGGGGAGCAGTTCTCCAGTGTCACCTTGAGGTTGTGACAAACACGGCCTGAGAAAGGCGACCCTGGTGACAAAGAGCCCTGATGGCTCCTGGCCTGCCTGGAGCTGGCCTGGGGACCTGGAGCTCATCCCGGGTGAATCACGGGGAGCAGCTCCAGGGGGACCCGGGGCCCTGGGGATCATCCCAGGGTGAATCACGGGGAGCAGTTCCCCAGTGTCACCTTGAGGTTGTGACAAACACAGCCCGAGAGGAGCGACCCTGGTGACAAAGATCCCCGATGGCTCTCGGGCTGTGTGAGGCTGGCCCAGGAGGGGACAGAGGGTGACACGGGGATGCCCCAGGGTGGGGGTGGCCACACTCAGCCCCTCCTGAGTGCCACCCCCTGTTTGTGTCCCCCCAGATCTGTACACAGCCCCCGACTCGTGCGAGGGACGCTGCGGGGAGCCCTTCAATGAGGAGGACGAGTGTCACTGTCACCCCGAGTGCCGCGCAGAGCACAACTGCTGCGAGGACCACGAGAGGCACTGCGGGCCCGGTGAGAGGGATTCGGGGTGTCCCGGGGGTGGGTCTGAGCCTCGGCAGGTCCCCAAGGTGTCCCCAAGGTGTCCCCAAGCCCTGAGCTCCTTTTCCTCTCTGTTCCACAGGTGGGGAAGGCGCCGAGGGTGGAGCTCGAAGCCGCGGTGAGTTTAGAGGGACAGAACCGTCCCCAGGTGTCTCGGGGTGTCCTCTCCACTCCTTGGGGTGTCACCCTCTATTTCTGGATGTGTGTCCCCCATTCCTCGGGATGTCCCCCTTTACTTCTTGGGGTGTTCCCCCTATTCCTTGATGTGTCACCTGTTCCTCTGGGAATCCCGTCCCATTTCCATGGATCCAGCTGGATCCCCTCACTTTTCCATTGATCCTTCACTTTTCCATGGATCCCTCTCACTGTTCCATTGATCCCTCTCACTTTTCCATGGATCCCTTCACTTCTCCATGGACCCCTTCACCTTTCCATGGATCCCCCTCACTTTTCCATGGATCCCCCTCACTTTTCCATGGATCCTGCTGCATCCCCTTCACTTTTCCACGGATCCCCCCCCTCTCCCCGGACCCCCGAGCCGTGCCCAGCCCCTGCTGTCCCCGCAGACGGATTCTCGAGCAGCAGCGCTTCCATCTCGGAGCAGGAGCTGCTGGAGCTCTCGGAGCAGCTCTACGGGCTGGACCACAACAAAGCCCGGCCCAGCGACATCGCCCTAAACCCGCAGCACCTGGCGGGCCCCGATGAGACCGGCGACAAGCAGGACCGGTCCCCGCAGCCGTGAGTGGCACCGGGGGGGACAATGGGGAGGGAGAGCGGGGTGGGGAAGGCGCTGCAATCCCAGCAATTCTCCCCCAGGCTCTACAAATACGTGAACGAGGCGCTTTTCTCCAAGCCCACCTACGCCAGCTTCATTAAGCTGCTGGATAATTACCAGAGGGCCACGGGCAGGGAGGAGGAGGTGACGGCCGAGGAGCTGCGGGAGCAGGAGCGGTTCCTCCAGGAGGTGATGGAAACGGAGCTGATGAAGAAACTCTTCGTGTTCCTGCAGGGGAAAAGTGAGTGTGGGGCAGGGATGGGGAATGGGGGAATCCCAAGGGGAGACAGTCCCAAGCAGCACACTCCATTTTCAGGAGGCCTTTAAAATATTTTTTTAATTTAATTTTTAATTTTAATTAAATACTTAATGTAATTAATTAAATTTTTTTTATTTTAAAAACCCCGTTTTTATTTGAACATGCATGCTTTTTACACATCCTTACAAAACTCCTAAGTTTACACTTCGCTCATTGCTCACGAGACACAAACAAAGTGCTCATTGCAATAATTGCAGGTTTCTCTTATTTATCCTTTTCTTTCTTGGTTTCTATGTCAACGACCTTGGTAGGAAATTCTTTCAGGGCTAAACACGGATCCTCTTATCAAACTTCTCTCTGGCTCACAGGAATCCCTGTAAACACAAAAAAAAAAAAAAAAAAAAAAAAAAAATCTCTTCCTCAGCTCAGGTGTTTCTTATTTCTAATCCATGTTATGTTTCACATTCAGACTCAGGTGTTTATTGTTTCTAATTCATATTATATTTCACATTCAGACTCAGGTGTTTATTATTTATCCATGTTAGGATATTTTGCATTCATATTCAATTTTACATTCAGATTCAGGTGTTTATTGTTTCTAATCTGTGTTAGGATATTTCACATTCAGACTCAGGTGTTTATTATTTATCCATGTTAGGATATTTTGCATTCATATTCAATTTTACATTCAGATTCAGGTGTTTATTGTTTCTAATCTGTGTTAGGATATTTCACATTCAGACTCAGGTGTTTATCTTTTTTTACCCGCGTTACAGTCTCACAGCAGTGAGTTCTGCAGTCCTTTATTAACCAGGCACAAAATGGCCAACAATCTCTTGTTGCAAGATGTTTTAAGGCTAAACTATCTAATTAATAAATGACACTTAAATTATTTTCATTTTCAACCCAATAACTAATCACTCAAAGTCTGCAATGTGGGCTTTTTTTGTCCAATTACAAAACACCACCCAAACCCAGGAAGAACAACCTAAAACCTCCATCTTGCTCCATATTTATTTCTATATTCTAAATCCTTAAACTCTACGTTTTCCACCCTGTGACATTACACACTTCTAATCAAACCACATACCCGTAATCCCACTGCTATTAATTAATTTTGTAATTGATTGGTAGCACTCCTCCATGGCCTCAGGTCAAACGCAGCGCTCTCCGGGGGGTCAGAGTGTGTCACACAGAAAATCTGAATTTCCCAGCACCCAGACCCCCAACTCTGCCCCTCCCTGTGTCCCCTCCTTTCCCTGCAGATCGCTACAGCTCCGAGCAGGAGTTCCTGCAGGACCTGAACCAGATGTGGTTCGGTCTGTACTCCCGAGGGGATGGGGAGCGGGATTCCAGCGGCTTTGAGCACGTGTTCTCAGGTAGGTGGAGCCCTGCCCCAATTTCCAGCACCTGTTCTCAGGTAGGTGCAGTCCCGCCCCAATTTCCAGCACCTGTTCTCAGGTACCGCGCTGCCTGGGGTTCTCAGGTACATGCAGCCCTCCCCGGGCAGGTTTTGAGCTCCTGTTCTCAGGTATATTCTCCCCAGGTGTTCTCAGGTACTGCCCTACCCGGGGCTCACCCTGCTGTCCCCTCTGTGTTTTAGGGGAGGTGAAAAAGGGAAAAGTGTCCGGATTCCACAACTGGATCCGCTTCTACCTCCTGGAAAAGCAGGGCGTCCTCAACTACTTCAGCCACAACTTCGACGGGCCGGTGAGAGCTCGGGGGGCTGGGGATGAACCTCCAGATCAGGGGGGCTCCCACAGGGATGAACCCCCAGATCAGGGGGGCTCCCACGGGGATGAACCTCCAGATCAGGGGGGCTCCCACGGGGATGAACCCCCAAATCAGGGATGCTTCCCCTGCCCCATCCCCGCTGCAGGGTGGGAAGGGCCAGAACCCCCCATGCTGGGGGCAGGAGGGGCTCCCAAGCCTTGAGGGAGAGATTTTGGGCTGGGGGGCTCTGCTGGGACCCCCCAACCTAGCCAGGAGCTGCTCTGGACCCTCCCTGAGGGGCTGGGGGGGTTCCTGGCTGGGCTGGGCTGGGGGGGATCCCACCCTGCTGAGCCCAAACCCCTCTCCCCCAGTGGGACACGTACCCCGACGTGCTGGGGCTCCAGTTCAGCTGGGACGGCTTCTACAAGGAGGTGGGCTCGGCCTTCATCGGCTGCAGCCCCGAGTTCGAGTTCGGCCTCTACACCCTCTGCTTCCTCGCGCGGCCCGGCCGGGCGTGAGTGCTGACCCTGCGTCCTTCTGTCCGTCCTGTGTCCCTCTGTCCGTCCTGTGTCCTTCTCTGCCCATTCTGCGTCCCTCTGCCCATCCTGAGTCCTCTCTATCCATTCTGTGTACTTGTGTCCTTCTGTCCATCCCGATTCCTTCTGTCCATCCCGAGTCCTTCTGTCCATCCCAAGTCCTTCTCTGTCCATTCTATGTCCATCTGCCCATCCTGAGTCCTTCTCTGCCCAACCGTGTCCTTCTCTGCCCATTGCAGGTCCCTCTGTCCATCCCAAGTCCCTCTGCTCATCCCGTGTCCTTCTCTGTCCATCCAGAATCTTTCTCCGTCCATCCCGAGTCCTTCTGTCCATCCTGAGTCCTTCTCTGTCCATTCCACATCCCTCTGTCCATCCTGAGTCCTCTCTGTCCATCCTGAGTCCTCTCTGTCCATTCTGTGAACTTGTGTCTTGTCCATCCCATGTTCTTCTGTCCATCCCAAGTCTGGCTCTGGGGCCAGCAAGGCCTCCCTGAGCCCCATCAGGGCTGAGGCTGGCCCTGAATTTGGGGAGGGATGGGATGGGGATGGGATTTATGGGACAGAGATAGAAATGGAAATGGAAATGGAAATGGAAATGGAAATGGTGAAGGGGATGGGGATGGAACAGCATTGGTTGGGGACACCAAGAGCACCCTGGAGATGGGGTTGTGGGATGAGGGGCTCAGGGCTGGAGCATCGTGGCTGTGGGGACACCAAGAGCCCCCCAGAGCCCCCTCTATGGGGCACAGACACAGAGCAGGGCGGTGACAGGTGTTGGTGTCCCCACAGGTGCCACCTGAGCCTGGGCGGGCACCGCCTCAGCGTGCAGACCTACCCCTGGACCAAGACCACCTACGATGGCGGCCGGAGATTCATCGCCACCGCCTACGTGATGTCACCCTGAGCGGTGACGTCACCCTGAGCCGTGACGTCACCCTGAGGATGACGTCACCCTGAGTGGTGTCACCCTGAGGGGGCTCGGGGGGCCGCGGGACGGGAGCGGCCACGCTGAGGGCCCGGCCCGGGACCGAACGGGGGACCCCCACGAGGGGACCCCCACGAGGGGACACCCCCAGACCCCGCCGCGCGTGGCGGGCCCGGGCTCAGAAGGGAAGGGAAGGATTTGGCACGGAAAGGAGGATCGTGAGCGGAATAAACACTGCCCTGGCTGGAGTACCGCTGGGTTCGGGGTGTCCTTAGAGCAGCCCCCCCTTTATCCCCCTCCTCGCGCCCCATTTCTCCCTCTCTGAGCCCCCCCGAGGCTTTGTCCCCCCCTGGACCCCACCGCTCCCGGGGGCTCTGTCCCCTGGAGCCCCTCCCCGGGAATTCGGCTCTGCCCCGGCCCAGCTGAGCCCTCCCCGGGGCCGCGGCTCCCCAGAGCCCCCAAATCCCCCGGGCTGGGGCTGCTCGGGGCTGCAGCTGCTCCAGCACCGCCCCCGGGGGCTCCAAGCAGAGCCCGGGGTGCAGCGGGACCCCCAGACCGGACCCCCGGGCTGTGGAGATGAGACCCCACTGTCAGGACAAGCCCCGAGGCACCGGGACCCCCCAAAACCCCTTCTCCCGCTCACTCCCAGATTTGGGGGGTCCCGTGTTTTGGGGGGGTGACAGCCACCAGCCCCCCCCCGCTGTCCTCATCCCCTCCTCCTGCATTCCCCAGGCTGTGGAGATGACACCCCACACTCGGGACAAGCCCCCTGCCCACCCTGAGACACCGGGACCCCCCAAAACCCCTTCTGCTGCTCACTCCCAGATTTGGGGGGTCCCGTGTTGTGGAGGGGTGACAGCCACCAGCCCCCCGCGCTGTCCCCGTCCCCTCCTCCTGCAGGCGCGGCCGGGGGGTCCCAGGGCGGGGAGCTCGGAGCTCGGAGCCGCTGACAGATGGTCCCGGGCAGGGCTGGCGGGCCCCGCGCCATCTGCCGGGGGTCACGGGTGACCCCGAACCCCGCGCGGGGAGGGGGCGATGCCACAGCGTGATTTATAGAAATGCGCTGGGAAAGCGGGGAGGGGGCGGCTTTGGGGGGACACGGGGTGTCCCCGCAACCGGGGTGGCACTGGGGGTGACACAAGGGTGACATGGGGGGTGGCATGGGGGTGACACGGGGGTGACACTGAGGGTGAGACAGGGGTGACATGGGGGTGACACGGGGTGGGACACGGGGGTGACATGGGGGTGACACGGGGGTGACACGCGGGTGACACTGGGGGTGACACGGGGTGGGACACGGGGGTGACATGGGGGTGACACGGGGGTGACACGCGGGTGACACTGGGGGTGACACGGGGTGGGACAAGGGGGGTGACATGGGGGTGACATGGGGGTGATGTGGGGGTGACACGGGGGTGACACGGATCTCTTGGAGGGGTCCTGCCAGCGGCTCCTGCAGGGTCCCAAATGCCAAATTTCCCCACCGATGGTGCCAAACGAAGCCGGTGCCCCCAGGGTCACACAGAGGGCTGGGAAATCGCTCCCGGCTCGGACAGAGCGGGAAATAAAATGGAAATATAAAATATATAATAATTATATAAAAATATATAATACATTAAAATATATAATATATAAAATATAAAAATTAAATTATACATAAAATATTTATAGTAATATATGGCAATAAAAATATATATTTATACATAATAATATAGGATATCTGTATGTGCTATACATATATTTTATCCAATCACCTATTATACTCGATGGTGCATTTACATATTTTATATGCATTTCTACACAAATTAGATCCCATATAATAAGTTTTGTTCGTATATTTATGCATTATTTTCTGTGCATTATACTATTTATTTATTATATATATTAGTTATTATACAATTATTTATTAAATTATTGATGCATTATATTATATTATATATATTATATATATATATTATATATATTATATTATATATAAATATGTATTTTTGTATCTATATATAAGTATATTAAAACTATATATAAGTATATTTTATATATAGAATATACTTTTATATAAGTATATATTTATATCTAATATGTAAATAAATATTTTATATATAGATACATTAATAAATGTATTTTTTATATTTTATACATATTATATATATTTATATATAAATATGTTTTTATATAAAATATATTTATTTATTTATATATAAATAAATATACTTTAATACATTATTAATAAATATATTTTATATAGGTGTATTAAAACATATATATACATATATGTATAAAAGTATATTAAATATATATACATATATATACTATATATACATATATACATATACATATATATATATACATACACATATATATATATACATATATATAAAATATTTAAAAATCTATATTTAACATCTTTTATCTATTGAAAACACGCTCCTAAAGCCGCGCATTCCATTCCCTGTTCCCCGGGAAGTTCGCAGCCATGTGGGGATGGGGATGACGCCGCGCTGGGTAAAGAGACGAACCCGAGCGAGGGCAGGGCAGGAGAGGAGGGGCAGGTGCGGCCAAGCTGCCCCCGGCCATCTGCTGCCAGCGCTGCCCCCCGGGACCCCCAGATCCTCCTCGGGGCCCCCCCAGCCCCGCGCGGCTCTCGGGGGTCCCGGCCCCACCTGAGGCAGCCCCGCTCCTCTATCCCCTGTGCTCCCCTCGAAGCGCTCACCGTGTGGTTTTTCCCGTTTTCCCCGTGTTTTCTTGGGGTTTCCCCCCGTTTCCCCAGTGTTTTCTTGGGTTTTGTTTGTTTTTTTTTTTTTTCCCGTTTTCCCCGTGCTTTCTTGGGGTTTTTTTTGGTTTTTTGGGGTTTTTTCCTATTTTCCCTTTGGTTTTTTTTTCCTATTTTTCCCAGTGTTTTCTTAGGTTTTTGCCTGATTTCCCTTGGGTTTCCCCTGCCCATGTTTTCTTGGGTTTATTGCCCGTTTTCCCCCATGTTTTATTGCCTTTCCCCCCTCTTGTTTTCTTGGGTTTTTTCCCCATTTCCCCCGTGTTTTCTTGGGTTTTTCCCCCCGTGTTTTCTTGGGTTTTTCCTCCCGTGTTTTCTTGGGTTTATTCCCTGTTTTCCCCCATGTTTTATTGGTTTTCTTCCCCCTTGTTTTCTTGGGTTTATTCCTCGTTTTCCCAATGTTTCATTGGGTTTCTCTCCCCCTTGTTTTATTCGGTTTTTCCCCCGTTTTCCCAATATTTTATTGCGTTTTTCGCTGTGTTTTTTGGGGTTTTTTCCCGTTTCCCCCGTGTTTCCCCCTGCCCAGCGCCAGGGGAGACCCCCGAGAGACCTCAGGGACATAGGAGAGACCCCCGATTGTTTTAGGAGAAATTGGGAATATTCGGGGTCCCATCCCGAGGGGTCCCTGTGGGATTCACCCTGGGCAGCCCAGTGAGGATGAGGAGGGTCCCGGCTCCAGCTGAGCCCCCGCCAGGCCAAGCCCACGGTTTCAGACCCAAATCCGAGCCCTGGGGAGCGGAGCCTCCCTAATCCCGCCCGTAACCGATCCGGCCCTAACTGCCCCGATGGGCTCCGGCCGCATCTGCTGCGCCAGCGCGGCCTAAGAGGATGAGGATGAGGAGGAGGAGGATGAGGAGGGGGTGTGCTAAACCATTTAGGGCCCTGGAGCTCCTCATGCACGGCAGGGGACGGGATCTGCAGCTGGATCCAGCCCCGGCGCGGCAACGCTGGGCCCATCCCTAAAAACCGCTGTGATCATCCCAAAAAACCTCTGGGATAATCCCAAAAAACCACTGGGACCATCCCAAAAAACCACTGGGACCATCCCAAAAACCGCTGTGAACATCCCCAAAAAAACCACTGGGATGATCCCAAAAAACCACTGGGACCATCCCTAAAAACCACTGGGACTATCCCCAAAAAACCGCTGGGTCTATCCCCAAAAACCACTTGGACCATCCCTAAAAACCACTGGGACCATACCTAAAAAAACGCCGGGACCATCCCAAAAAACCGCTGGGCTGATCCTAAAAACCCACTGGGACTATCCCCAAAAAACCACTGGGACCATCCCAAAAAACCATCTCAAAAAACCACTGAGCCGATCCCAAAAACTGCTCGGACCATCCCTAAAAACCCCTGGGACTATCCCCAAAAAACCACTGGGCTGATCCTAAAAAACCACTGGCACCATCCCAAAAACATTGAGACAATCCCAAAAAACCACTGGGCTGATCCCAAAAAAGATTGAGACTATCCCAAAAATACCCCAGGGGGGATTCCTGCGTTTGGAAACGTCCCAAAAGTCTCAGCACCCTCCGGCACAGCCCTGAGCACCAAATTCACGGAGAAATGACCCCAAAATCCCAGCCCTGAGCTGGGAGGGACCCCCGGAGCATCCCCCGGCCTAGGGGTGCAGCCCAGGGGGAAGGGTTGGGCCCCGCAATTCCAGGGTTTTGCGATCCCAGGGTTTTGGGATCCTGGGTTTTTGGGATACCGGGTTTTTGAGGTCCCAGGATTTTGGGATCCCAGGATTTTGGAATCCTGGGTTTTTGGAATCCTGGGTTTTTAGGATGCCAGGTTTTTGGAATCCCAGGGTTTTTGGGGTCCCAGGATTTTGGGATCCCAGGGTTTTGGGATCCCAGGTTTTTGGGATCTCAGATATTTGGAATCCCAGGATTTTGGGATCCCAGGATTTTGGATCCTGGGTTTTTGGGATCCCAGGTTTTTGGGATCTTGGGTTTTTGGAATCCCAGGATTTTGGATCCTGGGTTTTTGGGATCCCAGGTTTTTGGGATCTTGGGTTTTTGGAATCCCAGGATTTTGGATCCTGGGTTTTTGGGATCCCAGGTTTTTGGGATCTTGGGTTTTTGGAATCTTGGGATTTTGGGATCCCAGGTTTTTGGATCCTGAGGTTTTGGAATCCCAGGTTTTTGAGATCTCAAGTTTTTGGGATTCCAGGTTTCTGAGATCCCAGGTTTTTGGGATTTCA